ATCACATCACCTCACAACCCAATGGGAAAAACCATGAGTGCTGTGCAGGGGCCAACTCTTGAAGGGTAACTTCACACACACACATACCCCTTAACCAGGGAAGCTTTTGCATTAACATTTCTGTGGAACAGAAATCAATCATTGTATTAGCTTGACCACCCACAAATATCAGATTGCAAATGTTGGACCACAATAAATGTAAGCCATCCAGAGACTTTTAGTATTGGAATAGCATATAAAAATGATAGATAGATATAGATAGATAGATAGAGGAGCCACTGAGGCCCATTAGTAAACTTCAGCTTGCCTTCCCCATGGCCTTTATCCCAGCTGCTCCAAAGAACAAGCAAGCACCTTCCTAAGAGACTAGAAATTCCACTTCCATGGAAAGGAGGACTCTGCAAAGTTAATAAGCTCACTTTAGCTCCTCATCATCCTTTAACATCAATATTTCAGTCCCGATTACAGGCAGGCAAAGATGTTTATCTTGAAAGAACAGTGACAGTTTATCTAGCAAGTTACTCTATACAACAAATCAGAATCATTTAGATAACTGCTGACGGTACACAGTAACTTTCCAGAAGGGTCAGCCATCTTCTCCAATAGCAGCCTAGCCTTGGAGACTCTAAATGAAAGATTATTTCCTCAGTAGCTTTTGAAAGCCTTGTGGTCCTCCTACACCTTGCTGGTTGTCCCCTAACATCCTTGTACTGTAAACCCTTCCAGTAACATGCTGCTGTTGGGCAATTTGCACCCTTTTAACCAGTGCCACTATCATCTGTCTTGTTAGCCATCATTCAGGCCTACTGCCCAGCTGGGAGGAATAATGGCGACAGCCTACCCGTTGCATGCCTTGTTCTCAGATTTTCTGGTTAACTTAATCCTGTAGGCCTGGTCAAGGACTCCTAGTTTGCAAATGTTTCTGAATAGGGGACAAGGGATTTGGCACACCTCAGAGGAGTTCCCACAGCCTGGTGACCACCAGAGCATTGAACAACAACTCCCATCATTCCAGCCAGTATATCTCATAAAACACCTCAAGGGACCCAGATTAGGGAAGGTTGCCCTGGAGACCACTCCTCCCGTATGGGGGTCATATGTGCAGTTAAGTCCACTGTGCACTTTTCTTCATTTCTTTTTACTGTCACGTGGCAGTAAAGAATTCCAAGGTGACTGAAGGTTGAGAACATCTTCAAGAAATGCCACAGAAACTGAGCTCCAAGTGAAGTAGCTTTTATTCTAAAGCAAATCCTTGAGTCTTCATGTGAATTGCTTAAATTGCAGTGAATGTTTTCTGCCTGCTCAAGACTTTAGCTTATAAAGGTGCCCAGATGATTCCTGGGTGCCAGGACTAAACATAATTAAGTGGTACAGCGATGGCATTTACCCAAGGAATAGCTTGCTGAAATAAACATCAAGGCTGAATTGATTTTTTTTAAAGACAAACACATACAAACCTGTCTTCAGCTGCTAACCTTAATAGATTACTCATTCTTCCTTTCAAATAACGTCATGTACAAACCACTAGTCACTGCAAAGTATTTACTTGACTGCTACTGCTGGCTTTCCCTGAACTGTTTATATTTCCATTTATCCACTCATTACATCATCCTGTGGTTTTCTTAAAAGGTTGACAGTGTGGAATGACTACATAGTTGGAATCTCTCTTTGCCCGAGACCAACATTTTGCAGTACAAAGGATCTGAGTAAAGCCTTGCAGTAAAACAGCCATTACATTGTCCCTTGTTAAAAACGTGCTCTGAGACCAACTCCATGCTGCCCAGTGTCAGGAGTGGAACTTATTCCGCCTGTGAACAGCTTAGAAGAATCAAACTGGGCAATGCTTATATTGATTAGCAGCCTCTTTACATGACTATAAAGGAGGCAAAACAATCTAAGATTCCATTGCTTTGCCTCATTCAAGTCTGCCCATCCTCTAATTTAGCTTTTTCCAGCCACCCAAGGAATCACCAGAGCCAGAATCTGAGATCAACTCCAAACTAAGAGCCATTCCCATCATTATGAACCACTTAACCAGTGGAAGATGCCAGCAATGCCTCCTGCTGATCATATGAATTCTCCAAGAATTTCATGACTACCTATGTTTAAAATGTTGACAACAGATCCAGAACCTTGAGCTTCACATGTCACCAAGTTAGTCATTCTCTAGAACCATAGTAAACACTTCAGATTTCCTAATCCTTCTGAAAGTACATAGCCTAAGTAAGGTAAAGCATACTTAACTCAAAAGAACATTGTTACTACAACAGCTGAGAACTATTAATGTTCAAACAGATGGGATTTGAGAATTCCACCCATTTGGTTCACAGCCCTGGTAACCTAGCTTGAAAGGGAGCAATAACATCTTGAATAAGGGGGGATGTTTTCTAAAAGTGCGGGGCATCCAGTCAGGGACAGTATGAACAGAATTTCTCAGATATTAGAATCTTGCTTGACAATATTAAACACTGTGGTGCAAAGTCAAGAGCCAGTAACTGGTCATCATTTATAATATGCTCTGGAAAACTTTGCACCTATGAGAAATTAAACCAATACTTTAGGAAACAAACCATTTCTCTGAGGAACATGGTCTATGTGAACTGATGTATTTTACAGCTGAAACTTCCATGATACTGTTAACATATGTAGCAACAGGGTTATAAAATGCGTCTACATTTCCTTAAATTTAGAAGCTTTCATTTTCTTCCAGGGAACCAGTAAAAGGCAATCAAAATGCAGCAGTTGACTTATAGCTACACAAGCAGCTGCAAACCTTAAAAGGAAAACATTATAACATACAACAAGAAACTGAAATCACTCTACCAAATGCAAAAGTTACCTAATTTTTAGTTTCTTAGCACAAAGTGATAAAGAACAAGTCATACCACACTTAAGCAAGATATGCTGGGCAAGCCAACATTTAGAAGATTGTCCAGTGTTTGGCCACAATGATTAGCTACAGTTCTACTGCTGGTCAGGCTCAGAACTGGACTCATTGTCATTAAATGTTTTGTCTCGTTATTTAACACTAAGGGTTACAGCCACTGTTAGTTGCTGAAATCTATTCATATCACTGGGTCTCCTCTAAGTAGAACTAATTTGGATACAATGTTAAGAAACAAATGAAAGTAACTGCAGGTTTGAGTTGCACTATGCAGAAATATCTAGGGATATTTTCATAAATGAAAAAAATATTTGACTAAAATGCACTCCCCACGAGTACTGGTAATATGAGATGAAGCTCGAGGCCCATTTTTAATTCAAATATATTTTCTAGTCCATGTGTTCTTTGCATTCAATTGACATATCAAAGAACTGCAAACAGGTATTTTAGCTGCAGTTCTCAGCACATGTGATCTATTCACACCATGAAGATCCTAGATGAGATTGTGTACATAAGAACAGGAGCATGTAGAGAAAGATGAGAGTGAAGTCATTGAGCCAGCAGTCCCCTCTATCATCATAGCTGTATTTTTCCCAGAAAGCGAAGTCACAGAAATGGCTGCTGGTTCACCATGGATAGATACTGCCCAGCTTATACTAACATTTCTTTATGTTTTCATGTAGATGATAATCATGTTAGGGAAAGTAGAAGGCAGAAGAAGAAAAGGAAGACCAAATATGAAATGGATTAACTCCATAAAGGAAGCCACAGCGTTGAATATAGAACAGCTGAGCTGAGCTGTCACAGACAGGGCATTTTGGAGAGCTTTTGGCTTGCCATAGATTGAAGACAATGTCATGGAGTCATAGAACAGTAGAGCTGGAAGGGGACATCAGGTCCAGCCCCTTGCTCAGAGCAGGACTCCCAGTTAAACCATCCCTCTTAGATGGCTGTCCAGTCGCATCCTGAATGCCTCTGTGGTGGGAGAGCTCAGAACCTCCCTAGGTCATTGGCTGCACAGTCAAACTGTGCTAACAGCCAGGAAGTTCTTCTGTCCTGGTGCTCAGCTGGAACCTGGCTTCCTGCAACTTGCGCCCATTGTTCCATGTGCTGCTCTCTGGGATGACTGTGAAGAGATCATGGCCTTCCTCTCTGAGACAGCCTTGCAGAGGTGCTCCCATACCTCCCCTTAGCTTTCTCTTTTTGAGGCTAAGCATGCCTAGTTTTTTCAATCTTTCCTCAAAGGGGTTTGTTTCCAGTCCCTGGGTCATCCTTGCTGCCCTCCTCTGAACCCTTTTTAGCTTGTCTGCCTCTTTCTTAAACTGCCAGAACTTGACAGCACATAACAACACATTCATGTACCTGTCCCCATAATCCTAGAGGGAGGGGCTGATAAGCATAAAATATCCCTCAATTTAGCATACTAATAGTTACTCTGTAGGGGAATCACAGAAGTGTATGGTGACAGCTCATAAGTAACAAACAACAATTTGGGTTCCAATTCTGCAACAAAAATTTAATCTCATTTTTATCATACAATAAAATGCATGATGATTAACAGATGCTGCTTCCCTTAGTCCAACAATGGAGGTTGCAAGTGTCCTTTTTGGAAGTGCTCTATAAAATATACTACCTTTTCAGTTTTTAATTCCAAATTCAGCCTCTAGAGCTGGGTGTTTCAACTAGTATCAGATACAACAACTGCTATGCTACCAGAGTCAATAAAATTGAGAGATTAAACATGACCTGTTCTGATTATGAAGTTGATTGCATATAGATTTAATTTGTATGGTATATATTTAGTTTAGCTAAGCCAACTTTTCCATTACATGTGCCCTAGCTGCCCTTAAGTATATGTGAAACAAATTTCCAAACCAAGTCCAACCATTAAGCCAATAGTAGATAAAACAGTAGAAAAAACTATAGAAAGAAAGGAAAATAAGCTTCCATCAACTGAACTGTGGCTCTGGGTTTTGTATTATTATTACTACTGAGGTTATTTATTACTATTATTATTGAACAGAACAATGACTTGCAATCAAGAAATATAGAAGATAATGAGAAAAATGTGACTTATCTATCTAAACTTTGTTCCCTTTTAAAAAGTAAGACTTACCTGAATTTTTCATACTAGAGCTGTTCAGTTTAGAATCTTTGATGACCAAATGCTTTATCCAAAGTGTGGGAGCTGTGATTTCTGAAAAGCAAGAACAGGGGTCTTAACAAGAATCTGTATTTAATAAACAGAGTGCCATTTTTTTAATTATGAAAGAGGAGCTGAAAAGCCCCACAGTACAAGAAAAGGACTGCATGCAACAATTTGGATCCAGCCATGGTGAACAGGAAAGGATGCCTTAAATATATCTTTTTTAATTCCCTGTATCACATGAAAACTAAACTAGCTTCCAAAAGAGAATTAGTTTGCCCTCTTCTTCTCTCAGCTGAACTTTTGTATATTTATTTGGCAGATGAGCTTTTGGTCCAGTTCAGTTCTAGAAGCAGAGCAAATAGGAGTATCAGGGCACTCCTTGGGTTCACAGCCTGAGCCATTCTCAATAAAGGCATCACTTGCGACCACTGGTGTCCCAAGAGTCCTATCAACCATTGTGCAGCTGGTGGCTCTGGATGAGAAGACCTCTTTGGCCATTGCACCCTGTGGAATAACCCCTCCAGAAAGGTTGACAGGCAAATGCCCTTCTAACACAAGCCTACAAGCTTTTTATTCCCCCAAGCTTTTTAATTCCTGTTGTTATTAATCTATGCTAACTCTTACATTTGATCCTTTCCCCTCATATTTTAATCTTGTTTTGATCTTTGTTTAATCCTATATCACACTTTACTATATTAATCATTTTATTACAGTTGTTTTAATTGGATTGCTTTTATCCTGTAAGCTACCCTAAGAACTTTATTTTTTATGCAAGACAGGGTATGCCTATCAAAGCATATATACATTCAAGACTGCTATGACCTGTGCAGTCAGAGTAGATGTTCTTGATGCCATAACAATGTAGCAAATGCTTAGAGCAGTGTAAGAACACATAAAAATCGGGTCTAATTCCATACTATTTGCAAAATTGTGCAACAAAACCCTATTATTCATTGCTACACCCAAGCTTTTAGTGCTTTTTTTTCTTACACCAAGGGACTAACAAGTGCAAAGTGTTTATGTCAAATAATGAGTAGGGAAAGCAGTAATCTCCAAGAATTCTCTATCAACAGGAGTTTCTTTTGCATCGTATCACTATGAAAGTACACAGACATTCAGGGAACTAAATCTGTACTGATGCATCTTCCCAATAGATCATGATGGTAGATACTTCATAGCAGCTTTTCCCAGCTTGCACATCCCTGCTGCCTGCGGTGATGGAGACTGCAGTCTGACACAACTGAAGCATGCTAGGTTGGGAGAGGGTGCCCCACAGTTAAAAACAAAACATCTTCTGATATAGATTTGCTTTGAAATAGTATTATCATGGACTGAACATCAAACCCAAACCACAGTCCACATCGATAGTTCCCCAGCCAACAATGTGCAAGGGGGCTGAAGCCCTGTTTTACATTTTTTTTTAAAAGAAAATATGAAAGCAAGAATTTACTTGGGGAGAAATTACGAAATGATCCTAATTTTAAAACTCTTTCAAAACTGCACATTTCATGTTGCAAAGGGGAAAAACACATTATTTAAAGGAAAGCAGGTATTTAAAGAGAAACACAGCAAGGTAATTTGGATTTGTTTCTCAACTTCTATGGAATGAGGAGCAAGTAAAGACTTAGCTCAGTCTAACTGCATGTGCCTTAGGATTCAGTGGGTGTTCAAGCTGAAAAAACCAAGCCCCAATTTTCAAAACTCAGATAATGGTAGCACAGAGTTATGATATTGCATAATTAGTTTAGTTCAGCAGTTCTAACTATTCATTCTGTTTCCGTGGGTTGTCTGAACAAGAACACTTTATTTTCTTGCAAAACTGGTCACCTTAAAACCACTGCAGTGCAGCTGAAATTGTCAACCATCATGTCTATCTTACAAGAGAATTTTTAATACTATCACGCCAAGTTTTAAAAGGAACTTAATTCCAATTCCATGTATTTTGGTAGTAAGTGTTGCTACTCCTATTGTATATGAAAAGAAAGATTAGCGTGCTCTATAGGTTGTGTAGTTCAACAAAAGCAAAATCTGGATTTGCTCCCAACATTATCAATTTTATTAAAGAGAGAAGGGCATGATGTGGTGGTGCACATTTTCTTTTTGGGGTAACAGAATTATGGAGCCAAACATATTTAGAGAGAGAAATTCTGGAGGTTCTTACCTTCTCCATCAAAAACAGGTTGGGTCTCCATGGTGGGTGTTGGTTTTGAACCGTCATCTGAATTGAGAGTTAAAAAAAATCGAAAAGAAACTACCATTATTGAGGTAAATACTATCTACTCTCCAGTACTGTTGAATGATTGGGATTTTTACATGGCCCGGCCAAGTCCATCAGAAAAAAAGATAACATAGACATACATTCAAGAATCAAAACACATAGACAACATATTTCATGGCATTTTCTTAAAGATTAACCTATTGATACATTTTTTAAAAAACAGAATTAGAAAGCTCTTGCCACCTTTCATATTCCTCACATGGACCAGAATCAAACAACATTCCCCTTTCCCAGTGAAGAGTGTGTGTGCTTGTGTGCATGCGCACAGGTGTGTGGCTGGATGTGGAGATGGATCAGTTGGACCTACCTCGCTTTGCCTGGCCCTGTTCACAGAACTACCCTCCATATGGTGGTGTGACATGTTTCCTGAATACAGTGACTACAGCTACAGGTGGCATATTTCACATTCCCAAGGTCTGGGGGAATGCAGCATTACAGTCACATCATGTATTGGTCCATCCACAGGCTCAGTCATGTCTTGCTGCACCGAAAAGGGAAACCAAGGAAGCTTCAGCAGAAGGCCAACATGTAATCAATGGACATGAGAATCCAATAACACGCTGCATAGTAGCAAGCCTGCCATGTATTCTTTGTTATCTTTGCTTAAATAGCTTAATTTTCTGAAACTTCCTAAGAAGGATCACAGTTTGCTGCGGAGACATTAAGCTGCAATCATATTATTTTTAATGTTTACACTGGCAAATTCCAAGTACCAACATAGTTGTCTTATTGCCCTCCCTCTTGTTCAGAAACTTTCCAAGCCCAGAGATAACCATGAAACAGTTCTATTAAAAGCTTAAACTAAGAAACATCCAAAACAAATGAAAACCATAAAGAAAAATAGTCTGTGTTGAAATTTGGCCACAGAATGAAGCAAAGGGGTGCAGAGTCATGCTTTGGTGCTGCTTCGATCCATGGTTGACTAGACCAGACGTCTGATGAGCTCACTCTGCAGAGAGTTCCAGGTCGCAAGCATCTGGATCTAGGCTTTATTCCAAAGCTACTTCATGCATGCCAGCAATGCAAGGTTGTCCTCCTTGGCTAGTATTTGCTCTATGTGCTGTAAGAATGAAAGAATTACCATGGGAAAAAAATAAAACCATAAGAGTACTGTATGTCTGGCTAACTGGGTCATGTAGGCATACAAAAACCAGTGTCATAATGGGACTTTGGGGACATTTACTTCATACTGTGTCACACATTCTGTGTCATCATGCCCTGATACAAGATAAAGAAAGAAAATCTCAGTTTCAAAACTAAAGCAGAATGTGATGAAATGTAAGGCAATGTTTAAAGCAGAAATCCTATCCCATTTTTACTGAAGTAGTAACTACCAATTTGGAATTTCTCAATGGTATAATCCAAAAGCAGAGTTTCTAAGAACAGAGGAAATAGTACCCTCAAGTCCACAGAATTCACCCAAAAAGAGCAGGTTGATGATAAGAAATATAGGATGAAAGACAATTTTTTAAAGCACTTAAAAAGGAAAAGTGAAGAGAGACATACAGTGTTGTAATCTTTAATCAAGATCTGTGATTGGATCATTATGGTTTAATTATGTCCTTAAAAATAAAACTTGGATACAAGTGAGAATTCAAAATGACTGGGAAGCGAATGCTATGGACAGGGTCCAAAGAGACACGACGTCAAATCTGTGTCTAGTAGCTACATCTTTTTGTCATTTTTACTCCAGGGCAGGTGCAGAAATCTCAGTTTAGTTCTGAAAAAAGCCCTTTTCCCTGTCAATATTAGGACACAGACTGGTGGTGGGGGGTGTTGTGTTCCTACCCTCGATTAAAAATTAAAAAGATGTAGCTGCCAGATACAGATTTTTAACTATTTTGGCCCCTAGTTGTGCTTAAAGCCTCTTGAAATCAACTAGGCTTAAATTAGCTAGCCTGTTGTGAGGAAAAGCCAAGGAAAAGCTTATCTTAATGCTTTCAGAGTGGTTAAGCAGGCAATGGTCCCAGGTTTCAGGTTTTTTAATAAGTGGCAAGATTGCTGGTTCTGTTTTTCTACCAGCAAGATCTCCATCAGTTGCAACAGAGAACTGGTTCAACCTTTTCTTAAAGGACTACAGCACAGTGATAGGGCATATGGTTTGCCCATAGAAAGTACTGAGTTCAATTCCTAACAACTCCTAGAGGCAGAAGAAAAAGGCTTGCCTGAAACCGTGCTGCTACTGTTGCCAACCTGTGTAGACTGACAAAGGGCTTGACTCCATATGAAGCAGCTGGTCTTTCATTTCTTCCAAGAAATAAATGGTTCTTTTCAGAAATGTTCCTGCCAATAAGTAAATCAGTCCTGCAAAATTCTGAGATAATTTTTGAAGAGAAGGCAGAGTGCTTGTTTTTCTAAAATAATTCTTTTAAAGCTTGGACATAATGTGACCTCAATACCTGAAAGAATGCCCTTCTCTGTATCAGCCTGTCTGCATCCAAACACCTGCTGGGAAGCTCTCAAACCATTTCTCATGTGTTATGGGTTAAGATGGCAGAATGCCTTCTCTGTTATAGCACCCCATTGCTGAATTCCTTCTCCCCAGAAATGTGACCATTGCCAACGTTATTATCCTTTCAATGCCAAGCAAACTCCCAGAATTTTAAGTGTTTTGTTTGGCCCTTTACATTCTATTGACTTTTAAATAATTGAAGACTATATTCTGGGTTTTTTCAACTTTATGTTAGGATTATATGACCATTTGGGATCTTGTTTTGTACATGCTTCCCTTGGATGAAGGGTGAATTAAAAATATAGCTGCTGCAGCAATGATATTCTGTTGTGGATATTTTCCATTTTACCTGTACAAAATATTATTTGGCATTTATAGTCCACAGACATGCAGGTTAGTTAAATGACAAATTGAATGTTGCAAGCACACTGGTAAACATACTTGCGCAGGAAACAGATATGACAGCTATAACTTGCAACTTGCTTTGTACATGTTTCATATAATGAGATAACTGTCATGTACTGTGTCCTGGCCTTCATGGAGAAAGAACATCTATATGTTACAACAACCATACACTATACTCTCAGGTGTAAGTGCAATTACACATTTGGAAAGAACTACATAAACCTAATTCCATTGCCTGCCCACCTGCCACTTTTATAAGCCTGGTAATATTAGAGACAGATTCTACTAATGTTTATGGAAAGACATGTTTGCTTCATTTGTACACACCTCTTTGACTTTTGGGTTCTGGAAAGTACAAGAAGGAAGAGAATCAGTTGCAGAACCAGCCTGAATGTTATGCATTCCTGGTTTTACCCTGAGTTCTCAATAAACTTGATATAGATTACTGGAATGAGATAATTGCTCAAAAACACAGATGCAGCCATGAAGCATCCAAACAGGATTGTGAATTACTAATAGTTAAATGTGCTGTGGAATTGCACAGAGAGCTCCAATTCTGATTTTGATAAAAGGGTTCTGCTTTATAATTAACACTACCCCACTGTGCAGATATCAGACCTATAGTTATCTCAGTCCAAGAGAGCAGAGTCTGAGGGAGACTACAAATATGAAAAGGTTTGGTTAGAATCCAAGTACTTTGAAATTCAAATCCATCATGAGCTCCAAACCTGAGAGAACTGAAGCCTTCGGAAGTAAGCTGCGCCTGCATTTTGCAAACACTGCCAGGGCTAATTGCAGCAGTACGTTATCGGAATCATCCCCCAAGTAAAATGAGACTTTCTGGAATCGATTAGTCCACCCTCCCCCACGCCAACAGCTCTCCTGCAGGGGTGCCCATAGCCAGGAGGAGGAGGAATGGCCCACAAAGACTGTGTGATCCAGCAATGGCCAGCAAGGGTGCTTCTGCAACAGACAGCACGATTCTTTGGTGCACGAGAAAAGCAGCTGGAAGTCAGTTCGAACCCTCATGACACGACTCAAAGCCTCTTCTGTTTGGCTTTTTGATTCCTGATTGACACATTCACTGCCAGCTAGAGATAAATGCCATTGTGAGGACAATGTTGATCCGCTCCAGCTATTCCAGTGAAGAACTTTTTTTCTCGAATAATAAAACAAAAATGCTGTGCTTAAGTGTCTGAATAGAGCTCCAGATAGACTGAGAGGGAGCACAGTGGCTTTAGAGAGACTGGCAAGTCACTTGAAGAGTTAATTGTCTGGGTGTACAATGAGTTTATTCTCACCACAGACAAAGCACCCTCTCTGCCTGGTAGCAGTTCTTTAAAGGGGTTGTGTCAAGAGGACCCATGGCTGCTGCGGGGAGGGGCCTCGCTTGGGAATGGCTTTGAAAACCTTGACTCCTGAAATCTTAATGCAGGACACCTCTCTGTATCACCAAAGGTTCAAGCTATCTCCCACTAACTACCTCCCACTGCAAACTTTCCATCAAACTCTCCTCTGCCTTGCACTGCTCATTCAGAGATGACACAGCTGCTCAGGGGAGCCAAACTCTCTCTGTCAGTGATGGTAGAAGTTTTATAGCTTAGAGAGTGAAGCAAGGATTGGCTAAGCATGGGTAGCCTCATCCTTCCCTTCCCCTTCCCCTTCCCCTCCCCTCCCCTCTCGTCCAACCAATAGAGGGTCAAGCACAGTGACTGGCAGAATGTGTAAATTTTCTAGCCAGCACTGTGAGTGAAATTAGACAGGTTTTCTCCCTGCCCTTAAATCTGTGCACCTTGCAGTCTGGAAACTGATAGGACAATGTGTCTACACAGAGCCCCAGGGGTTGCTCAGTGCTGGGCATCTCATGCAGTAACACAATATTCCTGGTCGAAACAGAAGCCTTAAACTGTCATTGGTCCCAGATGACACTACTGCATACTAATGTATAAATGTTCATACAAAGCATAAAAACGCCATTCACCCAACTAGAAATGCACTGCGAAATAGTGGTGCTTGCCCTAGCGCTGCCTAATGACAGCCCTTGCCTGGACACCCAGGGAGAGGCCAGAGACCTACAAGCAGCACAATAAAGAGGTGGGGAGAACTGCGTTGCACT